AGATATAGAGGTATTGGGTACCCAACAGCAGGGTGACAGAAGATAGAACTAATGTGTGTACTACAGGGTCATAACCAAATGTAATGCGAACCGACAGACGTCGGCAAAGTGTGTATATATTATGTATATAGCGACATAGGTGAATAGAGTACGATAGAAATGCGCTGTGATATTGACTGAACCTAGCATTCCCTCAAGTGTTACCCTCTTCCCTGACGACTCCAGCACCTCCCGAAGCTTTGGCGAACTGCGAGTTAAAGCCAGGACCAGTGACGTAAGCGATCGATAAATTTACTGGAGTTTTCTTGACATAACAAGTTGGTGGCAGCATACTAAACCTGGTGACAGAGCGGGACACCTCCACGCCCCCTGTCACCACGGCGTAACAAAAATAATACCTAAATGAACAAAAATAAAAAGAGCATGTGAGTTACGCCAAATAAGAGAACGCATGGAAGTTTCCTTTTGTTAGGGAGAGGTTAAAACTTTTTAACTTCCGTGTGTCAAATCTGATGCGAGTGTGGGTCAAAAGTTGTCATGTTATGAGCGTGTGCACTGATAAACATACTTTCATTTAATTTCCGTGACGAATGTTGTAAAAATTAGGCTAATCGGTATGCTAATGAATGACAGCCAATAACCATAGGGTGTCTCACAAATACGTGTTGTTTTAACGAGGTCACACCATTAGTTTCATGACGAAGTGTGAAAGTTGGCATTGCTGTTGCATGTTGATGCATGTGTAAATATAACTATAAGGTCCTTCCTCTGTTTAACTACGTTCCATGCCGTGAAGAGGTGTGGGGAAAGAGGGTATGGCGTTTTGTGTTTTAATCTCGATACTGGATTGAGGTGAATAATTAGATTGGTGCCCCGACATTTTACCTCGGGCGAAATGGTTTCCGGGACTCACTGAATTAGAAACTGGGAGAGCTGCAGAGTTAGTCTGGACTTCATGGAGAATCCTAAATTCCTCAATCATCCAACCCATAATTTTGTCAACGATTCGGGCGGGGGGAGCTATTTTGGGTGTATATGTATATAATTAGCAGATCACAGTGGCCGCGGTGTCTAAGTCATGTACTGTCTTCGCCCACTCGAACACTTGGATCGTGGGCTCGAATCCCACTCAAAGCATGGATGTTTGTGTGCGTTTATTATTGTTTTTTTGCTGTCCTCTCTGCAGGTAACGGCTTTGTGACGGGCTGATCCCCGGTCCTAGGAGTCCTACCGTGTGTAAAAATATCAAGAAAGTGAAAAAGCGTTCAAGGCCAAACAAAGGGCTGTAGAGCCACAGATAGATATATTTAATTACTTTAAGTCATATCTGACAAAACTGTAGAAGTAGTTGAAATAGGATCACACAATATTATGATATAATTCATTATATTTAATACATTTTTATCCGAAATTTAATGGGTTTATTATAACTGTATAATAAAATAACAGCATAAAAAAGAACACGTGTCTATGCGACATTCCTGGTGGTTCAGTATCATTATCTTTATATCCTCGTTGTTTATTTAACGACGATGTCAGGAGCTGAAATTATATAGTGTCAAATATGTACAATATTATATTTAAGCATCCTGTTGCACTCCATGCGATAAATGATAAAACTCCGTCTCAAGTTCAAACAATATATTTGTGTCTTTGATCTTGCTCCCTATACTACATGTTTCGGCCTCAGACGGCCATCATCAGGTGTATAACACTCACGTCGCTGTCACACTGCACCCAGTTCAAAATTTAACATCTAAAACACTCTCCCTGTCATTATCAACTTCTACTTCGTTGATAGCTGTCCACCCGTAGATTACTTCACACACGTTAATTTTGAGTTTATTGTAATAGCACCATAATAAAATCTTTAGTTCTAATTTTAAACCTTTAAATTCTTGTCCAAATTTTAAAATTTTAAAATTGTTAGGGTTATTCGCCCTGTGTTTGA